GGGATTCTTTGCATTGTGAGCTTGTGCAGCCAAATTCTAAGCAGAAACAGTAATTATTTATCAAAAACCATTTTTTTTCAAATGCAGAGTATGAAGGTAGAGTTAGCAATGTTAATTCCAAGAGGCACCAGCTTTCCACAGCTGGCAGGATGCTTTCTTGTAGCTCTTGGGTATTTGTATAAAAGCACTATATAACTGTCGTGAATTGCATATCAAAGAAATAATTTAGATTACAGATAAAAAGATACATGGTAATGATTTATGTTTAGCTAGATCATATCCTGCTTGGCCACTGTGCTGTTTGCACAGTCGCTAATGGCAATTTATCTTCTGAATTCCTTTTCAAACAAAGTACAAAGACAGATTAAAATGCAACAGCAAAAGCAGCCAGCCAACTAAAAGACTAACTTTTTATGTTTCTACTTAATATAATATGCAGAAGTCATAGCTTATGCTCTGTATTAATGCACTAAGCCGCAGGTGGAAGGGAGCAGAAATAAACAGCAGTTGCTGGATCATTCAGTAGACTAGTCCTTTGGCATTAACTAAAGATTAGAGTTTATCATGTTTGGAATCTCTTAAAATAGTCTTTTTTCAGCCTTCTTCCTTATAGGTCCTGCACTATTTGTTTATGAGAGGCATGAATCTAAGCAAGTTTAAACCTATTGGTAGGAAGCATACTTTTTGGAATATGTTTTATGGACCCTTTAGAAATAATCCAATTTCACATCTAGGAATCAGGGATCACATATTGTAAATTGATTTCCTAAAGAATTTGTTTTATAAGTACATTTCATTTTTTTTATTTATATTTTTTGCTGATGTATGATGTGTGCAGCAGTTACCTGTTTTCAGTTATACCTTTGTGATGTGCCTGTTTCCGTCCTGGAAAGAACTCTTCTGCTTTAACGGTTCCAAATAACAAATGGCACCTGAGTGCCAGATTTCAAAAGGGGAATTCTGCTATACCCGCTGTCTTCCACCCAACCACAAAGCTTGATCTGTAGGAAGATGAAGCATGTGGGAATATCCATGTGACAAAAAGGATGACACTGATCCCAAATGCAGCCTTCAGAACTGCAGAGCAATCTGCAGACCAGAGTGGCAGATTGTATAAACTAGCTGAACTCCATTGGCTCCATTCCCAAGTGTCCTAATTGAGCAACTATCAGTCTAAATGAGGAATTAAGAGTTCATTAGTACATTCATTAATGATAATAACACAACATTATGGAAATGAATACTCAGTCTCAGTTATGCTCTTGCCAAATGTCAGTCACACTTTTTACTTTTATTGCTGCTATATATAGTAGTTTCAATTGCTCCAATTGCATTAATAAATGATTGACTTGTGTGAATGTTTTCACACTGAAATAATTTTCAGTCCGCTTTGTAGAAGAGGGAAATGAGCTAGGGTGATGTACACAGTACTTACTTGGGAGTTTATAATGATATTGTAAACCTTACTTTTCTGCTATTTAGTAATCCTCATTTCCTTGTAAATCATTGCAGCTCTTTCTATTATTCTCCAATAGGCTGCGTGATGCGAGTCTTCACCCACTTTGATACGTGCT